AATTGATGATAAAGCATAATAAAACTATAAAACTATGTATATAACTTGCTGTCAACGTACCTCTGAATGCCTGGCATTTTTTTGTTGGAAAATTTTACTCACAAGTGTGGAAAACAGTTGCATGTAACTTATTTTTTTATGTCAATCATAGGGCTAAACATTTATTTTATAGACCATTTTTCAGAGATTTTTCACCACCTTGCGTGGAAATGAGGCAGTAAAAGATTGTATGGGCAAAAGTTAAAGTTTCATCCGATCGACTTAAAACTCATTTCAAAGCTAGAACTTCTGTTGTTTACTGTTATCCACTGAAAAAAAAATGAACCAAGCCGAATAATGCCAATCATATATATACATATGTTGTATATATTTGTCAAAACTCACTGCCGAGTATGCAATTCATTGCAAAATCCATTCTTCTTAGTGAAAGGATGTTTAAACTAATAAATGCAAAAAAGTTGAGCAAATCCGGGAAATCTTTGCTATATTCATCTATACAAGGCTTAACTTCGATTATTTTAAAAAGATAATAGCTTAGGTTATATGTCCTTTTGATCAACTGCTATTGCAACTCGCACCTTTTTTTTTAAGCTTTGCTTATAGCCAAAGCTTATGCACGAATAGTTGAAGGCCAAAACTATGCGGCAGGTTTAAGGCATGATTTAGGCGAACGATTTTGATTTCGATTTCGATTATTGCCTCTAGAGATAAGTGTGGTGGTTTTAAGTATTTCTAGCTTCTGTGGCTGTGGCCCATTTTGGCACAGCGACGGCCGTTGGATGTCGCTGGTGACGACGACGACGATGACTAATGCCCCCAGCTCTGGCAAGCCGTGTGATAGTGGATGATATTTTTGTATGGTTTTGTGTGTGTGCTGCGAGCTTTTCATTGACCCACAACATGACACACACACGCACGCAGACAGCCAAGGCAGAGTGTGACAACAAGGCATTAACTGACAAACACGGCGTCATCGTTTTCCATTACAACTCAATCTCGTTCAACCTCCAACTGTTGATTGTCTATGAAATGTGCGTGTGTGCGCGTGTGCGAAGCGCCCTTCTCACACCACCCAGACCTCCGGGCCCTGTTAAAATTAATTGCATATTCAAACTAGAATCATTTCGTCGTCTGCTTCTGACAAGGGCCTTAGCCATGAAATGAACTATCACAATGCCATTGGCCATCAGGCAACGTTTGGTCTCCGACTGTCGACTGCCAACTGCCAACTGCAGCTAACATTGTATCCTCTTCGGCGTCTCGCTGTGTCGCATTACATAAGAATTCAATTTCCTAAACAGAATACCGACAGCTGAGGGTATCAGCTAAAATGCTGCCGCTGTGCGTTCACCTAATGCACCGGATATGCTCTTGCCAAAGCCAAAGCGCTTTCAGTTTACAGTCTCCACTTAACCACCCGCTGTGAATCTATTCACACCAAACCTTTCTCTCCAAGCTGGGGGCAATGCAAGGAAGACAGGATGGGGCGTTCTTGAATTCAGCCAGCCATAAAACTGCAAAACTTAAGCTCTTTGAAATCGATTGCACATTTTAATTTCAAGAGCAATAAGACTTAATATTCTTTAAATATTCTTTATTTATTTCTTAGCCGCTTTGACTGTAAAGCCAAGTTATTTAATTGTAAATTGTCGTTATTCTTTTCATTCAACAGTTTTCCACTCATTTTTGACTCAACTCCTTTCGTTTTATGTCTTGAGATACTCAACGAACGGCACCCACTTACCTTGGGGATTTCAACTCTAAACCATTTTAAACTGACTCATACACGAGCGATTAATCCAACACAAAGGAGCCGAGCCCCAAACTTTCGACCAGCAAATACATATATATATATTAACCTTCGGCCATTTACCTTCGCATTGCACTAGTTCGCGTTTGTTTGTTTTATTTGTGATTTGCCTTTATCAAGCACGTTTCGAGTTTTCGGTTTACGATCTAAAATTCAATATAGATACATACACTTGTCTATTTATTTATCTTGGGATTGGGATTTCTTTGAAGTGGTTCAATTTTCCAAGGGACACATCTTGTATATGCTTCTCTTTTTGCAGCATATGTGTAATCTGAACGTATCACATATTTGTAAACACAAAATGTTGTTTGACATTTTTTTGCGTAAGCGTTGGTCGTTGTTGTTGCTCATATTTTAACCAAAACTCAGCAGTAATAAGATTCAAAATGTAAAAACCTTATCTACTATAGCATATATAGAGGTCGAACTCTAGACTCTTGGGCCGAATGCCTGAGTTTTTTGTTTGAAGCCCTAATAACAATACGCCTTAAAGGGGCTGCTCGGCATGTCATCAACTTCCTACATCTTGCATATGATAGCCCGTAAAGATTTAATAACTTAATTAAAACTAAAAGTATTTTATTATGCTTCAAAATCCATTTGAATTAAAGAACTTATTTAATATTAAATGTTAAATAACACAACAAGAACAAGAGTACTTAGCTTTTCAGTTGTCTCTTTGTTTCTGCTTGGATTAACGTGCGCACATCCAGTCAGTTTGCACAAAGTGAATTGTTGCTGTTGCAGTCACAGTCGCCGTTGCAGTTACAGTTGCCCAGTTCACTTCCAATTTGTTTCAATTTGATGGCCAACATTAATTGATGTCTGTTGTTGTGCGCCGGTCGAGCCTTACTTGTTACTGTTTCTCTTTGTTAATTGTTCGATGCGCAATCTTTTATGTTATTGCTATTGTTGGTGTTGGCTATGCTGGTGTTGTAATTGCTGCAGCTGTTTGTTGTAGGCGTAACGCCATTGCCCTGCTCCCCTTTCCCCGGGCCCGTGTCGCTCCGGCCCGACTGAGCATAGTCACGGCCTACATAAGCACACAGGCTCACAGTTGCACGCTCCGGTTTGTTACACTGGATAAACGAGTGCAAACGCCAACAGAATCCTTGAGCAAACATATACATCATCCAATACCATGCCCACCTCCATGTTCGTGCCCGTGTCCGCGTCGCCTGTCGCCTGTCGCCTTTCGTATTTCGTTCTCTTTTTAAACCCGATGCCGCTGCTTCAGCTTAAAGGCTGGGATGGCTCATATCTCATACTTACTTAAGCCCTGGCTAAGCTTCTGCTGCTTCGGATTGCAGTTTAGCGGATTGCATTTTACGTGTCCCGGCATGTTTTGGCCTGGATTTGGTTTGTAGCTGAGTCGCGAAGCCGCTCATTTATTCAAAATTAAGACCAAGCATGAAATTAAGAATTTGTATACGGCGCAGCCTGCTGTATTTCTCTAAGATTCCTTTTTTTAATTGCCTCACAAACTTAACTAAATGCCAGCCATTCTTCATCTTGTTTTTATAAAATGTACTGGCAAATCGATCAAACTCAATTACAATACATGATGTTAATAAGATTTTTCCATAGTATTATTATTAATATTCTTGATCAGCATCAACAGCCGAGTAGCTATTCTATGTTTTCTATGCAATTTAGTCAGGCTTCAAGAAAATATGATATTCATGGTATTTCACAGCTGGTGGCAAGAAATCATAATGCAAAACGGTTGAGTTTCCATTAACACCTTAATTGGGTACATTAGCAAGGGCTGAGCTGAAATACATTTTCGTCAGAAAATCAGTCACAGCCAGCTAGTCAATTTTAATTAGATAAGCTGAGAAAAACTGTCGGAATTGCATCCAAAGTTAAGCAAAAGTTTTAAGCAATTTGGCCAAACTGTGACCTTGCCTGCCACTTGCCAGTTTCCACTTACCAGTTGCCAGTTAGCAGTTAGAAGTTGCCCAAGGCTGCACGTGTCCGTAACCGGAATGTGAGTCTGCAAGAAATACGTGGAAGCAACCGCAGCATCAAAAGCAGTGGCATTCTTAATTTGCACTGCGAGGTTAGTTCATAAAGAAATACCGGAATAAATGACCTAGTTCTTGTTTCCTGAAATATCCAAGTTATGTAATAAATGAGGCAGTTTTTATCAATTTTCGCAAGGGGCAAGGGTGGTAAGCATATGGCTGCTGAATACTCCAACCGTTTTAGATATTTATAGAGGGATTTTAAAAAATTTCACCCGCAAGCGTAAAAAATTGGCAGTAAAGGCTTGTTATTATGTATGTGACTATGTTAAAGTATTGGATCTTACTCTAAAATATTATTTTCAGCTTGATTCGCGGTTTGCGAAAAATACTCTACATTATGTGAAAATGTTGATTCTACGTAATAAAAGTAAATTTTAATTTTTGCCGAACTGGAAATGGGTTGGAACACCCGCTAGTATATTTATAATAAGCTGCCAGCTTGTGAAATATGATCAATTATTATTTTATGGTATTATTCCTTGTCATTTGAGTTGTAATCAGTTTTAGCAATTGTGCTAAGTTAAATAATCTGAAAATGTATTAATGTTGTTTAGGCAATCAAATTGAAATAAATTTAAGACTCACTTATGATGAAGGAAATCGATTTAAAATAATTGGTAAAATGTTTGTCTTTAATTGGAAGCAAAATTGCTTGACTGATTTTCACTGCACTGAAGTGTATTAAATTGGATTGCATGTGGCTATGGCTTTGGTTGCTTTTGTCATGGCCGTACGAATGTACATCTAATGCCAAATGTGCAATACATTCAGCTCAGGTAACTGGTAAAAGTTAAACACATCAATGTGATTGCACTATGGGAGCTGCAAAAGAAGGGGTTGCTTGTTTAGGCTAAGCACACGCGGTCTCCCTTGGCTCATTGATGTGTGGATGTGTGGGCTGCAGTCGCAAGTATGGGCATGTGTGTGCCGGCTCGACAAACAGTTCCAGTTCACTGGACTCTAAAGTGATTGCAGGATATTGAAAATGGGGTTGGGAGAGAAAACCGGAAGAAATGTGCTTGGTCGCTGCTTAGTAGCTCCGTGTTCCTAATGTTTCTGGCTAGCAATGAGATTTGACAACTTTTTTTTTTAGGGAATTAATAGTGTGTGCGAGTTTTTGCTAATAATATTATTTATTTTCGTCTTTTCTGTTGCAGCTGCCAATACTATGTAAAGAGTCATCCATGGGTGCTGGCCTATCAGGGCGTCATCACGTTCTTTGTGCTGGCAAACTTTACGTTGGCCACATTTATGGATCCGGGCATTATACCCAAAGGTACGTAGCGTGCTAAACGGTGCCCAGCGTCATCCGCACAGCCTAAACTTGACTGCATTCTAGCCTCGCCCGACGAAGACTGCGAGGAGGAGTTCCGCGCACCGCTCTACAAGAATGCCGAGATAAACGGCATTACGGTTAAAATGAAATGGTGCGTTACATGCAAGTTTTATCGCCCGCCCCGCTGCTCCCACTGCTCAGTGTGCAATCACTGCATAGAGGTGAGTTCCAATGGCATTTGCAATTTGAGTCGCATATCATTTGATGAAAATATTTCTCTCTTACTTCTGCAGACATTCGATCATCACTGTCCCTGGGTAAACAATTGCATTGGCAGGCGCAATTATAGGTTCTTCTTCTTCTTTCTCGTATCACTCTCCATCCACATGCTGAGCATCTTCTCGCTTTGCCTGTTCTACGTGCTCAAAATCATGCCCAACATTAAACAGACGGCGCCCATTGTCGCGTATCCTTTTCACAACAAAATATATAATTTGAAAACTGACTTTAATTGCAAGAGTGTGAGCCAAAGTTGAAGACTGAACAAAAAGCAAACCAGCCTCTAGAGTACTAGACTAGAGCATAGACTGTTGTTTAACAAACAGATTTATTCTGTTCCTTATGAAACTCGGGCATTTATCGAATTTTCCATTGGAATACTTTTTAAATTGCTAAGCTCTAAGCTGAAAGCTTCCGAGAATAGGAAATTATTTAAACCTTTAAACTTCTACAAATAAGAGATTTGAAATGGTATCAAAGTATATTTTAAGCTTATGTTCTATTGTCTACATAATTTTGGCTTGCAGCCTTGAGCTAACACACATTTCAGCTAAAACCATGTGTTGTCATTGGAAGATTGGTTTGTCTTAACTGTAAACGTTGCTTTTGAATGTATAGCATGATACTGATGGGCCTTGTCACTGTACTGGCGATACCGATATTCGGTTTAACGGGCTTCCACATGGTGCTGGTATCGCGGGGTCGCACCACCAACGAACAGGTGACTGGCAAGTTCAAGGGCGGCTACAATCCGTTCTCGCGCGGCTGTTGGCACAACTGCTGTTACACTCAGTTTGGACCACAGTATCCCAGGTAATGAAGACTTATGATTTATATGAATTATCACTGACTCGCTAACTGTTTGCCTACTTACAGTCTTCTGAAGCCGAAGAAGTACGCATCGCGACGATCTCAGACGCAAAATCAAGCAATAAGCACTATATGCAACGATCGGACCAATCAACAGACCAATACCGGTAGCGGTAGCGGAGCCGGAGCCGGTGGCAATGGCAGTACAGCCGGCGGCGTCGGCAGTGGAATGCGCGGCACCTCGGTACAATATTCACCCCGCTCCTACTACGAGTCGAGTCGGGAGAAGCGTGGAATTCAGGTAAAGACTTATATGGCCGAGGGCAATGGTTATAATCAGCGGTCGGGCAGCACAACGCTTTATAGTAAGGTGGGTAACATTTTGCAAACCAAAACGAAACATTGCAGAAATTGCTATGCAAAACGATTATAAATCTTTCTCTATAACTATAACCATGTATCTATTTGTGAAAGTTTCACTTGTAACTTACTTTGTTTCTGTATCTGTTGCCTTTCTCAAGTGGCAACTGCAACAAACAGCTGAACAACTGTAGTCGCCACTTGTTGTTGTTGTTGTTGTGGTTGTTGTTGTCTTTCATTTATTTTCTTCATTTAATTGCAATTGTAATTCATTTAATTGGTTTTGTATTGGCTGTTAACTTAACTTGACTTGTATTTAACATTTAACACGCACATTCTGCTTGCTAACTATGTTTAATATGCGATTTTGAATTGTTGGCTGCCAATTGCGTTTGTTTCTTCGTTTTTTTACTTTTTAGTTTCTATCATATCTACAAGTTAATCACATTCGCTCGACATATATATACCTAGCTACACCCGCTTCCCACACCCTTTGGCTTTACCCAGAACTGTATATTTAACTCACAGTTTGTTTGCCCGTCGTCCTGTCGTAATTATTTGATTGTAGATTGTAAAGAAAAAGCCAACTGCCGTTGCCACTGTTGCCGCTTCAATTCACGGCTTAAGCGAAATTTTCATTTTAATCGTGACCTGAGTTGGCTTCTGTCCGCGCTTTTCAGATATTTTTTTAAATATATATTTATAAGCGTTTGTTAGCATAGCAAACATTAATTGCGCAATAGTTGCCACGGCCAGTCGTACATAGAAATAAGACATACAATTAAGCATCGCTAACACACACATCACACCAAACAGACACACACATCACACCAAATCACACACACACACATACACACAATCAAGCAGCAATTATTGCACACACTTTCATACTATTTTTATATCGCCAACGCTCTATTCTCTATCTATGTATCTCTTGTATTTCAAGCTTGGTTTATTTTCTTGCACCTGCGTAGAGTATTTTAGCTTTGTCACGTTGTTTGTAACGCAGTCCTTGGTATGAGTTAACAGCGTTAGAGTAGAAAGTCGCTTCAAGCTCATTGCAGAAAAAAAACGATTACTGCAAAAAGAAAAAAATAAATACCCCTTTTCGCCTTGTGCTTAAATAATAAATTATATAAAACTATATGCGAGCAGTCCTCACAAGATGACTTGTATTAGACCCGGTATCAGGTTTACAGTCTAGTGTATGTGTATGAGCTGTAGTTTTATCTGAACCAGAGGTTCAAAAGATAGTTTTTTGTTTATTCCAGTTTAATATTAATAAGAATAACAGTAATAGTAATAGTAATATATGTATTTCAGTAGATTGATGTAGGCTGTCATCGTATCACTTCATTCTATTGATTTTGAACAGTATTCAAGTTTCAAGCTTGCAATCGAATCTAGTTATTTGACGCATTTACTATTTGGTTTAGTTAGTTATTAGTTCCATTCAGTTTGTTTCGTTTAATTTGGACGTTCTGACATTTTGCATGCGGTTTGAAGTACTTAAGTTGCAACTTTAAAGCTTTTGCTCTGTGGCTTATATCAGTTGATTGGCTCGTTTGTCTGGATTTGTGCTGTAAATTCACTCGCAGATTGTTGTGCAACTATGTTTCAATTAAGTAACTAGCGTATATAGAAAATATATGAACAAAAAATTGGTCAAAAAAGATAAACAAAACTCTACACTTTCTGCAAGCACCGAAAAAGGTAAAACAAAAAAAAAAAAAAACAAAAAATAAAAATAAGCAACGAAAAAAATGTATCAAAAAATTATATATTTAATTCTATAATTTAATTATTTACTGATAAATACATTTTGATTGATAATGATTGAAAACTGATTGATATGAAATTTGTCACATGATTTTTCTGTTGCTTTCTCACCAAAGATTGATTATATTCAATTCTAAAATGTAAAATCACTCCTTATATTTATATTCATATATATACATATATCTCTTCTAAACTCAATAACATTTTTCTTTCTCTTTATGATCTGAATGCTCAGTAAATTCGCTGAATTTCGTAGCTTTGATCTATCAATTCCAGTTTTACTTATTTTCCAAATAAAATAACTATAAATATCATGCCTTGCAACAAAAAAAAAAAAAAAACAAACTTTAAAATACAACAAAAAAATACACTTTAAAAAGATTACAGTTTCTATATCTTAACCCGGATTCGGGCATCTTACACACTGTTCGTTATATGTATACAGGAGACACTATTAGCATCGTTCACTTCTGGCCAAGATTCGGCGTTCGCAAACGACATTTGGCATTAGGCATTCGGCATTCGGCATTTGGCATCGATTCATTTGTCCAACCCACACACACAAACAAACACAAGTTTCGTTTCCATTTGGTTTCAAGTACATTACAAATCGATCAATCACAACTTCTCGTTTTATGTAGGCCTAAGGTTTTCTGTGTTAAGCACTTGCTCAAGCGAATGAAGCTCCCGACTAATTTAGAAATTTTGTATACGTTCTGCGATCTTCACAGCTGTCGCCGGGACGGGAGTGCTCCGATACGGACCTTGAGCCGCCGCCTGCCTCACAGAGTCAAGACTGCGAGCCGACTCCGCCGCTGCAACGGCACAACTCGACCAACTTCTACCTGCCTCAGGTGAGCGACACCGCGCCCGGCATCAATATGAGCACCATGAACAATGGCAATATTGCTAGTGGCGCAGGTGGTGTCCCCAACTCATCGCAGACTGGCGGCGGTGGCGACTCACCGCGTCACCTGCGCATCTATCATCCACGTCACAGTCCGCACGCGCGAACCAGGTGAGTAGCTGCTGGCTTACAAAATACGTACATCATTATATCCTGCCCATTTGCTTTCAGGGGCCTGGATCCGCAGCGCGGCTACACGAGCGATGCGCTCTCGCCGGACCAACCGGGCGGTGGCTATGTCGTTAATGGTCAGCAGGGCATATCAGTAGCACAAAGCCAGCGCGGTGGTACCACAACAGCCACGCCTACCATGCAACAACGAATCAAGCCACTGGGCGTGGCCACGCCACTCGTCATCGCCAGTCCAGTGAGAAGGTGAGTGGATCTATCACATTGTGGTCCAGTGCTGCAGTGGTGCAGCCAGCGGCCACTAAACCGAACTTCTCCAGCTAGCCATATTCATTTGTTGAGCTGCTTTCTGCTGTAAATGATTGTACAATTGCTTCAATTTGTTGTTGTTGCTTTTGCCATTATGACGATCAGCTCGATTTGATGGCTTATATCAAAGCGCCCACAAAACATGTATGTTTAATGAGGTGTTTGTGTATGAAGGAGTCTGTAAGTAATTGCTGCCAATTGTGCTCCTTAGCAGTTTTTTTTTTTAAATTTATGTTGTTGTCATTGTGTTGTGCTTTCGACCATTCTCATGTACGGAATGCTTACTGTACATCTTGAACTCGCTGCACACGACAGTGAGCGAGCTAGCAATAGCTTGGAGAGGTCATCGAACGCTAGCTATACATCAGTTGCGACGAGGTCTATCCTCCTCCATGTTCCTCTCGCTCGCTTTCACTCCCTCTCGCTCTGTCTCCCTCTCTTTCGTTGTACTACTTACACGCTTTAGTCGATATTCTGTAAAAATTGCTCTCTACTTCGCCTCGTCTTAAATACGAATACGCTCTCCTTCTTTGTCATCCACATATGTGTATATATTTTGCACACAGCTTCTTCCCATGATTTGTTTACACACTTTTAAACTAATTTAATTTTTAAACTTTTCTTTTTTCGTTTTCTTTGTTTATTTTATTTTTTCTCTCGATGTAGTCAATACTCAATTTCTGAGAACAGTACTAATTCCTAGGCTTAGCTTACCAAAAAAAAAAAAAAAAAAAAAAAATCAAAGAAAATATATGTATATATATAATTATATATATAAAAAATATATATATACAAAATATATATAATCATATAAAATAATATGAAAACCAAAAACAGAGAATACCAACAACAAATAAACTAGGATTAAAGTGAGACGATAAAAGTCCTGATTACGATTACGATCAATGATATTTATGTAAGCACCTACCTTGAGCAGTCGTTAATACCAAACAAACTTACACTCTGTCATCGGCCAAAGAGGCGCACAGCAGAATTGAGCCTGAGCTCGAGCCATATCCTGAACCGAAATCGAAACCGAACCAAAAAAAAACCACAAATTCCCAAGTTAAGATAATCTTCACAGTATCGTGTCTACCCGTTTCCTCATTTCTGCCTACGTCTCTGTGTGGATAGACGTCGGATGATATACGACAGTTGTCCCGTTAACGTATCCGTCCACACACACACACACACATACACACACCGAACACACACACACACACACAATCTCTGACAAAGACACACTCCTAGAAATTACCACTGCAACTAGCGTCACCACCAAGCGCACCCACTCTATGTACTACTACCTCAGCTTTCATTTGATTGAAGGTGAGTGAATTCTTGATTTTGGTGCCGTTTCACTCTTTTTTATTCTAATATATACCCTTGCAGAGGGTACTATAATGTTTGTAACGCATTAAATGTGACATCTTGATCAGGCGTTAACATTCGAGTCGCTATAGCCATGTCTGTCTGTCTGTTGGTCATAGAATCATGCAGCTTCGTCGTAAAACCTGGCATGAAAGCGCTTTTGGGTCAAAACCGACTACTATATAATACAGAAAACCTGGCCACAATCGTTCGAAAAGGGGTTCCAAGTTGGGAGTATTATATCTTGCATTGCTGTGTATGTCTGCAAGGGTATGCGATCTTCGGAAAATTCGAAGATAATTATTGCTGTTTTGTATTCGCTAAGAGTCGCCACATCCCAAATTAAATCGAAATCAAATCGAGGCCCACTCAGCAGGCCTTGCTCATTCTCAGTCACATCTGGGCCTTGGATCTGGCAATAACAATAATTCATTCATACAATATTGACACAGATACGAATGTCATAGCTCGCATAGTCTGTCAGGCTAGTATCAAAAATTTTCTGCCACACACAAAACAAATTCTCGTTTTGTTGTATTTTTCATATAACATTTAAAATTTTTATATTCCTTTCGGCTAACAAGTTGAACTTCGCCAAATTGCGGTACGATCCGTTTTTTTTTTTTAAATTACTAAAAAGCAATAGCAATATGAATAAGAACAAGCAGTCACAGCTCAACACTGGTCGCGTCAGATCACTGGGTCTGTTGGACAAGACGTTGCCCCTGACTGCCGCAACCATACCACAGCTGCGCAATCGACGCCAGTTTCAGTTCAATGGGATGCAGTTTGAAACGAACCCATTGTCCCTGCATATGCCGCGTGGTGGCCTGGACGGAGACGCTGGCGATGGAAGATTTCCAGCAACAGACGATCGACGGGAGTCATCTCCCTACCAAACATTCAAAACATCATCGCCGCCGTCTGCGATCAGTCGCGTCAATGCATTGCGTAGCTTTGCAAATGGCGTCGGTGGTGGCAACGACATGGCCAGTCCCAGGGTGGTGCCACAGTTGGCTGCCAGTCAGCCGCATCTGCAGCGCCAGCCGGAGGAGCGCATAACGTGGCGGGCGGACAATGATAATGGCTATAACCAGGCAGGTGGCGAGGATGCCTACGCCTACAACAATGACAACGGCGGCTACACCCACAATAACAACAACAACAACAACAACAACAGCTACAGCAGCAGCTACAACAACAGCAACGACAACACTACCGCCAGCTACAACAACAGCAGCTACAACAACAACAGCAGCTACAACAACAACAGCAGCAACAGCAGCAGCTACAACAATAGCGTCAGCAACAACAATAATAGTTTCAGCAACAACAGTAGCTTCAACAACAACAGCAACAACATTAACGACAACGACATCAATAATAGCGAACGTTTTCAGCAAGTATTGGCCAAGTACAGCAGGCAGCCGCATACCGACGACTACAACAATACCAACAACAACAACAACAGCATCAATCACACCAATCCCAACAACAATAACGTTGTTAGCGATCATGTTAACAACAACAACAACAACAACAACTACAATAGTAATAATAATACTATAAAGACAAGCAGCTCATACAATAATAATAATAATAATAATAGCATAAAGGCAAGCAGCTCCTACAACAACAATACTAATACTATGAAGACAAACAGCTCTTACGCTAATAACAATGCTTTGAAGACAAGCAGCACCTACAATAGCAACTTGGACGGAAACAACCAAATTGAGGACATATTAAATAATAATCAGCCGGCCCACAAGGAGGAATTACTGATCCCACCAAGAATCTATAGTCGGCCGCTGAAATTAAACGCCTTTCGTTTTGGACAGATGCGAGCAGGTGGCAGTTTCAATGCAGCTGCAGTCAATCACTCGATGGACTACATTACGTTGACGGGCTTTCTACTTGGCTATCTGACATCGAATGTGTTGTTTTTCCTATGCTGGTACTTTAGTTGGCTAAAGGGGCAGGTTGTGAAGCTGCGCAGACATTTTCTCGGTCATGCTAATCTATGGGAGTTCTTCGACTTTGAGGATACCACACGCTATACAATGCAGACCAAATTGCTATTGGCGCCCATCATACTTGGCTGCAGCATCCTCTACTGTGTCGTCAATATACTCCATTTGCTGATCAAGCTGGTACGCTCCGATGTGCCACGGACCGTTGTCGATTTTGTGCAGCGCATCGCCCGGAGCCATTGGCCCTAGCCAAATGTCCCCAACGTCATTTGTGTGCGACACCCCACTCGTGAGCTGAATGTCTGTCTGAATTGTTGCTTGAGGTCATTTCAAAATAACTAAAGGTCATCTACGTTCTCGGCTAGCTAACTGTTTAACACATTTATTTATACACACAAGAAGGTGGCTATGGTGTCGATTGTACATAATAAAAGGATTCATTCCAAAATTGGTCTATGCATAACTGATAACCAATTGCTGATCACTGATCACTGTCTATCGATAGCATATGTCTATTGTCTATCGATTCTAAATGTGGACCTTGCAACGGCTCTCATCAGTCTAACTCGTCTGCGCGTTCTCGATGTGTGAAGCGTGCATATGTCTGTTGCATAACTGTTACTAATCGTCAATGTTAAATACCCTAACGAATTTGTGGTCCAAGTTTGTAGTTTAACCGCGCACACACAAACACATATTACTCATGAATACTATCACATACTTGCGCACACACACATACACAATCACAGCCACACAGACTTGCATTGTTTTACTCTGCGCTGTCAAGTCCTAACATTAACATGGCGCGCTGTTATTGACCGCAGCCTCAGTGTTATTTGTTAACATAACTCGCTCTTTAACCCGCTTTGTAAACGTTCGCATTCGCCGCTCACACACACACTCTCGACTCGTCCTCCTTCACAGATCCAATCCGGGTACACCCACGCAGCCGCGACGTCCCGACTTTATAGGCCTGAATGCGCAGGCGGCACAGCAGCAACAACAACAACAGCAGCAGCAGCACCAGCAGCAGGCGGCTGCAGCGGCAGCTGCCTACTATGAGTACACCAGCGGCCTGCCGCCGCAGCATCCGCAGGCGCCAACGATTCAACATCAGCAACAGCTGTTGCTACAACAACAGCGTGTTATGCTACAGCATCAGCAACAGCAGCAGCAACAAGGTTAGTCTCCCCTTCGGCAGTCTCCCTCTTGCAGTCATAACTAATGCCAGATTCTGGCTCCTCTTTCTAGCGCTGCAGCAGCAGCAGCAATCGCTAGCGCAGGCTGCCTATGGCGGCAGCCCACAGCGTCGCTTTCTGTCTGAGGGCGAGCTGGTGCGACAGGGCGCTGGCGGGGAACTCTCCTATGCGCGTTCCAACAACACGGTGGACAACATACGCGAACTGGCTGGCAGTCCGCAGCGCGGCGTCTACATGTGGAAGGACACCTCGCCCGGCTTTGGTGGTGGCGGCGGCCCGGCTGCTGCCAGTATTGGCAGCAGTGCTGGCACACTGCCAAACAGCAGTAATACGGCTGGCATTATGCAGCATGCCCAGTACATAACAGCCGGCGGTAGCACTCATCCACTCATCATGACCCACTCACGGCTGCAGGACTATGCCAACCAACAGCAACAGCAGCAGCAGCAGCAGCAGCAACAACAACAACAAGCAGCTGTTGCAGCCGCTGCTGCAGCGGCAGCAGCTGCCTCATATCATCGCTCCAATCCCACAAGCCCTACAACCATGCCGCAAACATCCGCTGCACAAAGCTACATTCTGCGCTATGGCGGCGGCGGTGGCGGCGGCGGTGGTGGTGGTGGTGGTGGTGGTGGTGTTGGTGCAGCTGCAGCTTCGGGTAGCAGCGGTAGCATTGCCAATGTGCCAGCTTCCAGCAATGCCAGTTCCGGATCTGGCGGCTATCAGCCGCAGCTGCGCGGTGGCGTTCCAGTTTTTCCGCCAAATCCGCTGGCCGGTATTAATGTGAGCAACGCATCTAGTGCGCTTCAGCCGCAGCCATCTCCGCAGATCAAGCGTAAGCAGACGCCGACGAGGCCAATGAGCTTTGTGCGCGCCCTGGAAATGACCGACTCCATGGAGATGCAGACACTTGAGCAGCAACAAGCGGCAGTGGCGGCTGCAACCATGGCGCGCAACAATGGCGGTCTGCCCAGCGGCGTACCAACGAGCCTGGCACAACAGAATGCGGCAGCTGCAGCCGCGGCCGCAGCTGTGGGACGTAATGCGGCAGCGGCGGCAGCTGCGGCTGCGGCAAATGCCAGTGGCACACCGGATCGCGCGAGCATCTACGATATGAACTACGAGATCTCCGTATAACCCGTGGTTGTGCCCGTCGTCGTAATGCCACCCGCCTCAGCAACAGCAGCCAGCAGTGCAGTCGCCACGGCAACGGCGACGGCCGCCTTCTACGCGCAGCAACAACAACTGCAACGCGCCATATTAAGCAATGGGGCAGAGCCGGCGGCGTACGCTTCGGTGCCCATACCCATGCCCGTGTCCGTGCTGGTCGCCAAGCACAGCAACGGGAGCAACCAGAGCCACCTCAACATCAGCAAGACGCCAAACAAGCGCAAGTTCTCCACGTTCTTCTGAAGCTTCAGTCAGACATATAGCTAGATATATACATATATATATATATATATATATGTATATATATATGTGTGTGTTTATATTTATACACACGTATTGGGATATCGCTTAGCAGCTCGGTTTTGCTCTTTTATTTTTTTTACTTTTAACGTTTTGTTTTATTTTTATTCGGATATGATTTTTTTTTAATTATTATTTATTCATCTGTTTTTTTTTTAATAGTTTAAATAAGAATTTTAAAGTTGATAACACACTTCGGAAGAACTGTAAATAGAGAAAACTATTTTTAAGCGTTTATTTTGTACGCGCTTTTAGTCTCCTACGCATAAGACACGGCAATTCTTAGTGTTTTCATACTGTCGAAATACCATGAAAAACGAAACTTGGTAAACTTCAATTGAATTAAGATACGACTCGGCACGCTTACAATCGAGCAAATACGATTTTAGTTTATCAAATTGTTCACGAAAGTATATATCTACTATATACGTTCGCATATATTTATATATATATACGTATACATAAAGATATATAAATATTTGCATTGCAATCAATTTGAATATATATTGACAGTCAGGTCAGAAATAAATTGTGGAGCTCGATTAAGAGTTTGATTACGAGTTTAAGTAGCTATCTACATAATACCATGTACTACTACTATTGCAACTACACCTAATGGAAAACGCCAAAATTTGTAACCGAGTATCGAAGATAACTTAATATATCTATATGCATGTGCGAGTGTGCGAGTGTGCGAGTGTGCGTGTGTGTGACAAAGAGAGAGAGAGTGTGTGAGTTTATGGGTGCATGCGTTATATATACATGAACATATGTATATAGAGGTCGCTCGAAAAGTGACAATCTTTCGGTTCCACAGCTCCTTTAAAATACTTTATTAATTTATTAATAATTGCATTAAATTATATGCCAAACACAAGACAATTCCAATTTACGAGCGACCCCTGCAATAGTATACATATGTGTATATATAATATTTTGCATTAGCTAAGTACGTGTAAATTTTGCCATATATATGTATGCTTGTATGCGTATATAGGGATGACATATATGGTACATATATAACTCATGTATGGGTATTCGGTAAAAATGGCGCTTCGAAATTTAAACAGCTACCAAAAGGCCAGCAAGTCAAGTTGAATCGATCAGAAAAAAAAAAAAAAAACAAAAAAATAGAGAGAGATTTATGTTGACCTGTGTTGTGTCTCTAATAACGTCCACTTCTAATTGTATGAATTTTGTACATAAGTGTGTATATTTATGTATGTGTAATGTGTATTATGTATTTTATGTTGAGGCCAAATTGTTATTTTGTTGTTCTTGTTGTTGTTGATGCTAACTAGCCATGTACATACAAACAGAGACAACAGAGTAACAAAGTTTGGCCCGTGCTTATGTATATTTATAACTTTGTTGTTATGTTTTTAAGTCCAATTAGTGTTTATTTTGTGCTCTGCCGCTTGTTAATAATCAATCAATCAATCATTTTGAATGACTCTCCACACAATCAAAACGCAATCACATTGAAGAAGGGCTTCTCGTCATTGCTGGTCCAGTCCCTGCCCAGTTTAGCGAAATAGAATTGAATTGAAATCGATTTGAACCCGAATTGCTGTTAGTTTCGCAAGGAAGTTAACAATACAAAATGCAACAAATAAATAGAATTAATGTTTGTAATAAAGCTAGCTATATTTAATTGAGTGTTCATTCACACAAGGGCCCACACAACTTATAGAGATGTCAGCGAAAAGATAGGGTGAGTGGGATGGCGACATACCCAGCTCTCAATATAATCGTAGACGTGTGCAACACAGAAACAAGTCGTAACAAGAATTCGTGAACGAAGGCGAAATATTGTAAGTGTTTTTTGCTAACAAATTAAATAATAAATTGAAAAAATATTTAAATATACTGATACAAAACGAGTGCATACGCATCAATTTGTGTATGCAAATTAAAATATATGAAAATGTAACTGAAACTGAATGAGAACAAAAAAACAAAAAAAAAAAAAGAAAAGAAAAGAAAACAAAAAATTGTAACATTGTTTTAGATTTTTATACCAAATTTAATTAATGTCACATCATGTTGTTCAAACATTATATACATATGCATATATTTATATAAATAAACACCATTTTTTTATGCCACATTCAGTTAGGCAGTAAAAGCAACTCAAAGAGTATCTGCCCCCGAATTAAATTGTCAAGATCTAGCAGACCAGATTGCACAGTTGCAAGCATCACACGTGCGTTCTTCATTGTTTTTAATTAACAAACAAAAAGTTGTTTTTTTTTTTTTCGTATACTGTGTGTACTTTGTAAAATATACAACATGAAATTCAATAGCAACATTAACAGCAAGGCAATTAATATATAATAAAGATAATGAAAATTACAAAAACAATCAGTTTTATTTCAAAAAGAGATTATACTGTCTGCTTTCTCAAGAAATTAAATATGATTTTGTTATTTTAAATTTAATTATAATTTGTAAGCTCTTAATATGGTATAAGAAACATTTATATACATTTAAATGTGGTCGTAGTAGGCGTTGTTTGTTATCTTAGATGTTAAGAATAGTATTCAGTCATTTTGGTATTGTCACCTAAAGCAGCCAAGAGCTAAGTAAGTAGAGTTTTCTAATTTTACGAGCTTCTTTCTTTACCTTTTACTACAAAAAAAAAAGAACTGTTAACCGTGCAAAACGGGTTACACAGAGGCAATAAGTACAACACCAAAAAATGTTTCCGGCAACTAGAACTGAGTCTACAATGACTAATAATACAACTGTGAACACAACATCGAACCTGCACAGGTTTAACATATTGACATACAGTGCGTCCACCCAGACAACCTCGACACGGCCTTCACCAATAATGGCAGGAGCTTCACCAATGGACGGGTTGACTTCGCTCTTTACAGACCTAAACATACTGGCGGCCGGAAAATCGACTAGAACAACCAGCACATCGACTTAACAACTTTCTAAACTATCGCGGTGCGACCACAATGCATTTCCTGGTAGCACAACTAAACTAGCCGAAAGCATTGCCATAAGCTTCAATATCCAATACCAAGAATCTGTGTTCGGTAAGCCGCTTTCGCCTTTTTATTATATGTACTAAACCAAATGGGGATTATTACACAGCCATGGATGTGCTGTACACAGCAATGTTATGTCAGAACACCTGAGTCTACTCCTAACCAGGGAGTCGTACACCACAAAATGGATCAATCGGCATAGTTTCATGCCCTACATTAGCTGCCATAAGGATACCCCACAATATCTCACGTAACAGCAACAACATCAAAATGCTGTATGGTTCAGGAATCCGACTGCTGCCAGCATCAACACTTCTTAAAAATATAGCATCAGCTACCATCAGCTAGACTTTAATCTATACAACCCAAGGCATTGTCGTGGACCGAATGAAAGGCAGCAAATAACAGGCACGCAAAGACCAGCAGTCCGAAACGAAGAAATGAAACACAAGTATAAAAATGAAGATAGTATATGAAGTCCAATTTATTATAGCTAGTCCACATTCATATAAAAATCAACCCGAAATTAATTTGTGGTAAAGACCATATCTGGAAAGAAAAATATCCGCATCAGCATTAACGATTTTCAACGAACACGCGGAATCGGAATGCAATTGTATAACTTCATGAGCTTCTCCTCCATATATCAGCACCATATCCAATAGATCTTTTCATACAATTGCTTAACTCAAATATAAAAAAAAAAAAAATTTATATTTTTTATACTTTTCTAATAGCCTTGTTGCCGTTATCACCGGATCGGATCGGTCCTACCCGGCATACGGGCATCTTGACAATTGTATTCAGTCGATTTCGATTGACGAAAGTTCGTCCGCATCACATCCAATGAAATCTGCAATGCAATCTACAGGTATATTTTGTAGAGATCTCATCTGTAGCTTGTTTGCGGTAAGCACAGGTCCGCCAACGATGCACACGCCACCTGTTAACTGCATTCGAGGCTACTTTGTCAACTAATTGGAAGCGCCCTCTATCGCTCAGCCTTAATTGGGTTAGCGTGGACATGAACCGTTTTAATGTATAACGCCATGGTCATAAGGTTATATGTCGCCTTAAAGCGACATAATCTCCCCATGGTCCAACGAGGATTTTATGTCGTTTTATTGCGACATAACATCTCCATGGTCCAACGACGATTTTATGTCGTTTTAAAGCGACATATTTTCTCCATGTCGCCATGTCGGGGATTTTATGTCGTTTTAAAGCGACATAATATCTCCATGTTGCCATGTCGGCGAAAACCATATGACCATGGCGTTATACATTAAAGCGGTTCATGTCCACGCTAATCCAATCTCACCATGGTCAAACGGCGAATTTATGTCGATTCAAACGTCAGATATTCCAATAAACATCAAACTTTAATGTTTCCTAAACCTCTTGGCATTTTTGTCAAACCGTCAATATTGAATTTTTGACAAAAAGCGGCTCAGTCATGGTGTTAAGATTTTTTGATGATTTTTGGAATATTTCGGAAAAATATTGTCAAATTTTGCAATTTTATTCCATGTAATTATTATTATATTATATTATTATTATTATAAGATTTTTTGATGATTTTGGAATATCTCGGAAAAATATTGTCTAATTTTGTAATTTTATACCATTTTGGACTAGTAAGATTCAGTGTACTATCAATTGGCATTAAATAAAATGAAAAATGAAAAAACCTACATTTTTAATTTCAATGGGAACGCAGGCTGGCGAAATTTGAACGAAATTTGAGCGAAAATACCAGGCGAACAGAAATGGCTCGTAGGTAGACAAAAATCCATTGCATAACTGAAAGGGGCACGGCTGGCAGCCGTTGAGTAGCAAGACTTGAATGGAATTTCAACTAAAGTACCAGGCGAACAGAAATGAGTTGTAGGTAGACAGAGCAAATACAATTGAAAAATTTCATTGCCTACGGTCTAGGAGCAAAAATGTTGGGCTGCTGCTGACTTGCGAGATTATTAGAAGTCGACAGTTGACAGCTGTTTGTAAAGCAACACGACTTTCCATTGCCATTCAAAAATGTAATTCCTATTAAATTTGAACTCAAAAAGAAGTCACTGTAAAAATATCTATTCCTGACTAACTCTTTTAGTTATATAGATTGACAAAAACAAACGATTTATTTCAAAAAAAAATTTTATTGAGTTTTTTTAACACATACAATATTCGTTTATCCACTGAAAATGTAAATTGGTGTGTGTGTGTGTGTGTGTATTTAAATTGTTGTTCATTGTCAATACGATGACGTTTAATATGTATTGTTATAGCATATGTGTTTAGATAGATATAGATAAATATGTTTGTATGCGTGTGTAACTATTTTAATGTAAATATGTGTATGTGTAAGTGCGCATATACTTCTCAGTGTTCAAATGCACACTGATACAAAAAATTACATAATTTTATTATGCCTTCTATTAAACGTATAAAAACTTGGTTAATTATTTTATAAATAATTTTCTATGCGTGTAAGTATGTGTATTATGTACTGCATAATGTTAATATACAGCTGTACATAAGTATGTATGTATATTGAGTAGACATTTATATTATTATCGATTGTATATGTATTTAAATCGTATATTTATGCATACATGTGCCTTGTTTACATATGTACTTCCAAGTGCGCAGATATAGAAAATTAAAAAAAAAAAAAACATACATTTCTGGTAATTTGTTGTTTAGAAACACAGATATTTATATAATATACGAGGACATGTATAGAATAATTTTTATAAGCATATACACATACAACATCCAAGTATTTTGTTATGTTTTATTATTATTTGTGGTACGTAAGGAAAATTGGTTAGCTGCTGCGAGCAAAAAACAGGGTACAATTTTGCTGAAAATATGTATATCGAAACGTACTTTAAGCCGCATGACAATAATTTCTTTGATATCTTGAATTGGTTTCTATAGATTTTCGCTAGGTTTTTTTGCCTAACTATCTATGCCGATCTGTGTCTGTCGCCGTTTAACAGTTTTATCGTTTAAACTAATACTTATTGTACATGCAACATCGTGTGCTGCTTGGCTTTGCCGCTATGTATTTATTTGTATTATTTTTTATTATAATTATTATTAAAGTCCCCCCTGCTCCATCTTTTTGTTTAACTTAGCTTGTTTCACGTGCATCTTAAATGCTATAGCAATAAAATGCATATTTGGATATAAATTTTATATTATTGATATAAAAAAAAAATGTTTACTTAATTCTAACGTTTATATACTTAGAAAAAAAAATAAGAGCAGCACAAAAAAAAAATTAAATAAGGCGTAGCTCTTTGCTCCAAAGATTAGCTATAGTAATGTATACATATATACGTATAAATATATATATTCGATATATCAAATTGAATAAACAAAAAGGTGCTTTAAGCTACTCATGGCATATCCAGCCATGAACATATATAGCCCCAAGCTCGTGTTTAAGCCTAGCCTAACACTATAAAGTACACATGAGATGGTTATTTATATACATTTGGCAAACGATGTCCCGTGCTGCAATTAGTGGCACCGCATCAATTGGACTGTGGGGGTGGTGGGAGGGGGGACTCACTAGAACTCCTTCAGGCTGCCGCCGCGCTTCAGCTTGGTGAGTCGCTTTAGGCTGGCGCTGAGCATGCCGCTGCCGCTGGCCATCGCGAGCCGCTCACCATCCGACCGCCAGTTGCAGCTGCTGAGACCCGACGCGCTGCGGTCGCGTTCGCGTTCGCGCTGCGTGAACGTGCCACGGAAACGGACGCGTCCACGACGCTGCTCGCCGACGCGTCGCCAGAGCTCGGTCAACGGCGGGTGGTGCTGGTGCGGGTGCTGCTGCAACGTGCAGCAGCACACCAACTCCTGAGATTATAACTTCTTCTCCCAGACGACGATGTGCGCGTCGTTTGAATTGGCCGTCAGCGGAGAAAAGCTGCCGGAGCCGCCGCCCGTTCCGGAGGCTGCGCCAGCGTTGCCACACGAACCGGAGGCGCCCTTCTGACCGGGCGAGCTGCCGCTGGTATTGTACCAGACATGTCGCCAGTAGCCACGTCCCCCCATCAGGGTGATAACGGTGCGCGGTCCGTCCGCATTCTGCTGCTGCTGTTGCTTCGAGTTCTGCTTTTGTTTGCGCTTCAATGTGGCCACGGCCGCCGGCGCGGCCTGCTTATCAGAGGCATTTGCCTGAGCGTGCATGTGCTTGAAACCGTCCTCGGATTTGGGCGTGCTGTTGGACAAATGATGGTGGTGCTGCTGGTGTATATCGGCGGTGGTCATGAGACCGTTCTCCGATATGTTGCCTAGGTCGCTGCCAGTGCCAGACGTCTTGTGGCTGGCGCTGCTGCTGTTGCGGGAAACGGAGCGTCCGCCAAAGAGGCGTATGCCCATGCTCTCCTCGCTGCCCGATGACGTATATAAGCTGGACGACTTGGAGTCCACCGACCAATTGGACAGATCGAGCGAGCGCGGTCGCGAGGCCTTCATACGCAAACGCCGGTCCAGGGTGCACACCTTGCCGGGTATGGCAGCCAGCTCGGGATCGGAGCGTCGCATGCCCTCGTACATCATGTCCATGAGGTTGCCCTGGGTGCCCTCTTCCGCATCGTAATTCTCCTTGACAAAGATCAACTTTCCGTACAGCCCATACACATCGCAGTAGCCGTGCTCGCCATGCTGCGACAGTGCGGTCGCATTTGAGTGCACTCCGATGACTCCGGTGCCTCCAGCCGCTGCTGAGCCCAGGCCACGCGGTAGCGTCTTGGACATGCGCGAACCGGCATCACCAGCGCCGGCACCCAAATCCCGGAACCGTTTGCGATGGAATGCAGGCGAGTTAGCCAGCGATGCGCGAATCTTGGCGGTGAAGCTCTGGTCTAGCGAGTGCTGCTTGTCCAACTTGGAGCTGCGCGGTGAGGATGCAGCCGAGGCGGGCGTTGCCACGTTGGAGTCCGGTGTTGCCTCGACACTTGGCTCACGCAGCATGCAAGTTGCAGGCGTAGTCGAGCCAGCTGTTGAACCGGATGTTGAGCCGGGCTCCTCTTTGGGTAGGTCACGACGTAAAATGACTGTGCTCTCGTCTAGGTCCGTTTCGGTCAGCTTTTTGGGATCCGCATCGATGGCGGGCAAATGCAGATCCTCGCCCATGCTGGGCACACTGGGCACCAGCGGTGCTGACATTGTTGCTGCGGCTGTCGGTTTGTACGCTGGATAAACTTTCGGTATGAGCGGCAGGAGGAACGTGATGGGACCGAAGTGGGCGTGACAGGACATATTAATGCCGCCACTGATGATGGGAACGCCCTCAAGCCGGGGCAGCGGTATGGTAACAGCGATGCCCACATTTGTGCCCACCCAGAGCAGACCTTTGCAAGCCATTAGAGCAGTCACATATATTGAGCTGTTGTTTAGCGGCTGCTCCTTTTTAGCATCGTTGCGCAGCACACTGGAGGCGATATTTATGTCCTGCAGATGCTTAAACGTCTCGGTGTGGTAGAGACAGAGCATTGTCGAGTTCTTTAGCGAGATCCAGAGCCCGATGCCCGAGTGCGCCATTAGATTGACCTGCTGGCTGGCGCCGTGCTGCACCTCAAAGCTGCGCTGCAGCTCCCCGTTGAGTGCGTTGAGCACGTAGACGCGATTGCCGCAGGATGCGTAGATATTCATGTTGATTGGCAACATGCTCGGCACAGACATGCCAGACTCGCCCAGTGTCACCTGCTGGGGATCGCGCAGCTGCCAGACACCGTCATGGGCACGCCTATAGATCAGCACGGTGGCATTTGAGAGTGACACGAAGACGGCATCGAAGTGATACAGAATGCGTTGGACAGCGCCCGGCACCGCAAAGCTGCCTAGCTGCTCCTCCTGCTCCGGATTGCGGGCCGAATAGATGAGCAGCTTGCGGCTGTCCGTGCCAAGCCAAACGAGATCGCCCAAAAGGCTGCTGTGCTCTTCCCGTGTGCGGCACTGGTCCAGCCCCTTGACAAACTCCAGCGCCGACACCTGCGTCTCCACCAGATCAAAGCAGCCTGCCTCCCGCAAATTGCCCGCTTGCTGTGGGTGCTGGGCCAGCACGGTGATATGCGACGAAGTGCCATCGCTGCTGCACATCCACAGATAGTTCAGCTGCTTGTGCCGGCGTCGCGCGTTCCCGCTCTGCTTTGTGTCATTGGCGATGCTGTAGTAGCATCCACAGCGCACCTGAGGAAATAAACGATAAAGAGTACGTTAGCTGTGAATTGGAGAAGCTTATAAAAAAACCTATTCTCTATTTTGATCTCAGACATATTTGTAAGCAAGTGACCTTTATACACAGTTTTTATTTAAAAAATATAAGCATGAAAATCGCATAGATTATTTTTTATAGGTTTTTTTTTATCACTTTAACATGTAATCTTGACTTGACATTATGAAAATCTCATAGAAGAGTGATATTGAAAAGAGGGAGACAGCCTGTGAGTGCGCTTGAGTTAGAGAGAGACATAGAGAAAGAAAGAAAGAGAGAGACACAGACACAGAGAGAGAGAGAGTAAGACAAGGGAAAAGTGCGCAAGCACAAAGCTTATTTATCACAGTGTTTAGGGCACGCAAAGCGTTTCAAATATGGAATACAATTGCGTTCCTATTGCAGTTTTATTGTGGCCCTATCCGATGGTGTATAAATAAGATTTAAAACATATGCGTTATTCGAATATTGCAATTAAATATAATATCCTTTAATTGGATTTGGCTTGTGCTGCATCCATTTATGCCTTTGGGGGCATTACTTACCTCCGTTTGATGCTGTGACCGGTAAACGGGCATCGCCTTGACAAAGAGCGGCATCTTGCGCGACTGCTTCTGCTGGACAGCTTCCTGCAGCTGCTGCTGCTCGTAGGTGTGCAGCGTGGCCTGCGGACTTCCGGGCGATTGCAGGGTATGGGCATTGGGATGTTGGTGATGTGAATGTGCATGATGTGGTTGCGAGCCGGAGAAAGAGCGTTCCCAGGCGGGTGAGTTGTTTGGATCGAGAGCCAGCTGAGCGAGCCGCAGCTCAGTGATCCACTCCTTCTTCACATTTGGTGTCTGCGTTTGGAAAGTGAAGGTCTCCTCCTTGCCGGACTTGTGGCGACCAATTAGTTGCAAGCAGCAGGAGTCCACCCAGGCCATCTCCTCATCCTTGCGCTGAATGGAGCCCTGTATGGTATTGAGCACATTGCGCGTAGTATTCAAGTTGAGTTCCTTGTAGCTGCCTTTAAGTGTGCCGACCAGGTCGTGTATGCGCGATATCACTTCGTAGTCGTACATCAGCGTGCTCATCTCATTGCACAGATTATCCGCTCCGTTTGTGAGCTGTGCGGCTGGCGAGCTATGCGAATCTCCGCTGACAAAGGGCGATCCCAAGCCCAGTCCACCCTGACCATGGCCGGAGAGCGTTGCATTTGCATAGCCGCCGGCGGTGGTATTTCCAGTGCTGCCATTCGACTTGAGACTGCCTCCACGATTCAGACCTGTGCAGCAGGAAAACAGTTGCGAGTTAGAGTATGCTCAGTTATGAAGCGTGGCCAACATACCTGCTGTAAGAATTCTAGATAATGTTGCGGATGCGCTGTTGTCCACAATCTCGACATCGTTGACGGGAAACATCCATTTGAAGGTGAGCTTCTCGGTGGCACCAAAGTCATGGGATTGCTTGGGCGCCACGGACACGCAGATGACCTTGTCGTTGAGCAGCAGCAGACGTCGTTGCTTGCACTTGACTATGAAGCCCGCCTGGTTGAACTCCATGTGAGTGACATTGTCCTCGCGGAGCAGATAGCGGGCCCGATTTCCGCAGCTGTCGCTGACGCTGTTGAGGGAGCGTGTATTAAATGTGCCGCTTATGTGGCCAAGCATCTCCTTGAAGGCCTGATACTGCTCCGCCTCACGCTTGCTCTCGTTCAGCAGCTCGGCGAGCAGCTCCAGCTGTGACAGCGCCAGCTGCAGAGACATGCGATCGTGGTGACCCTGTGGCGTGTACTTGAGCAGGTCCTGCAGAAAGAGTATAAACTGGGGAAAGCGCTGCACGGGCTTCACCATCAGGCCAAAGAAGGATAGCCGATCGTGGGCACTGATCTGCTTCACCTTGAAGAAATCAGCCAGCGCCGATTTGCGCTTCTCCTCCATTTTGGCAAGTTCCATGGCCGCCGAGAAGTTGTTGATGAAGCCTGAGTATATCTCCAACAATTGCGGCTTGCCAAAGGCGCTCACAAAGCAATCGCCGATCTTCTCATCCCGATCCCAGTTGCGTACACACTCCGACAAAGAGATACGGAACAGCTTGTGTGAGTGTAGAATGTCCGGCAAGCAATGGAATAGCGTTGCGATCTTCACTGGATTCAGCACCGGTGGACTGCACTCCTCCAGCGGCTTCTTGTAATCCTGCCAAAGAGGGGCGAGAGAAAAAGAGAAAGTTGAGAGTAAACCTGCTGATAGACGCATTGCTACATTTTCAGATGTCGATGCTTTACCAAAAGTTGCAAGATCTCTGTTCGCCAACTCGAAATGCTCGGTTTTATTCTATTTTGGTTCTTTTTAATGGGTGTTTAACTAATTTTGCAACTACTCTTTTCATAAAGGTGGTTTGAGATGGTTAAGTAAATGATGTTTTGTATTGAGTTGGTGTGAGTGTGGGTGTCAAGAGTATCGAATATATAGAGTATATAGTTATAATTTACATAGGTGTGCGTGTGGGTGTCGCGTGTGTGTGTGTGTGTGGATGCGTGTGTAAGAATTGGAGTTAGTTATGACGGAGAGTGACGGCATATGACGGTGGGAATTGGATGGCATGTAAAGAAGAAAACAAATGAGTTGTCATGAGAGTTAACATTAACATAAGTCGGTGTTTATTAGAGCCATTACGTAATAATCATTAGGGGAAACGGGAACAAGAAAAGTTACCATATTCGGATTCCCGAATATTAAATACCTTTGCAGACAATTGGCAATATGCATTTGAACATTTTCATTACATACATTTAAAAAAAAAGTTTATCAAAAACTAAATTTACGTTTGATGGTCTTCGACTTTTAATATTGATGTAATATTATTTAAATGTTGCGAGCAAAGCAACGCCTAAATTGGAACTACAAGAATTTGTTTAAATCACAGCATTTAGATAAATTTTAATCCAAGTTTTAATTAAATGGCTGCAAAATTAGCCCAGTAAACAAATAGAAAAATAAACATAGCGAGCCGGCTTTTGGTACATATACAAAACACACAATATTTCTCTGCAAGGATATACAAATTGAAAATCTGAGGCCTAAGGGTGCCAAGAATTTGAACTGACACAAGTGTGCCCGAGAGTGAACACAAACTCAAATACATATATATTTATATAAGGAAATTAATACGACGTACAAAAATCAGAATTTTTATTATTTATTATATATGCACCACTACATGAGATTTAATCCACTTTTGGCTTACAAGATGACAACAACAGACAACAAATTAAAACAGAGTACAGTCCACGATGAGGACGGTATTCTGGAGCTGGACGCGGACAAGGTAACTTTGGTGGCCGATACATTCAGCAAGGTGGAGATGTACCTGCAATCTGACACAAAGCGGGGCTATGTCAAGCTTAATGCGCCCGGCCTCTACAGTTTTCAAATGCCGGATCACCCTGACGGTGACCGTGAGAGCACCACACACAACGAGGATGATGATTCAACGCTGACTGACAGTTGGACAAAGGAGAGCGTGGACGAGATCAATTTAATTAACGAGGATGACGAGGCGCAGCTCGGACTTATCCAAAGAGACGAAGAGACTGGCGAGATGTATATACTGATGCCCCTAGAAGTGGACGTGCTGCTCCATCCCGAATCAAGTGTAAAGAGCGAACAGCCGACAACTCTCACTACGGTCGACTCCTCGACGACCATTGCCGGCATAAGTGATGAGGACGAGGAGGACGCGTCGCAGACGACGCTAACAGAGAATCCCCGGCCTCTCAATGTGTTGCATGCCGATCAGGCAGATAGAGAAATACTATGCGAACACGAAGTATGCAAATTTGTGGTGCCGAAGATGAGCCTCAAGTTTAAGCTGACACTCCAAGTTGGAGAGCCAAATGATGGAGAAGAGATATGGGACTAAAAATAATGTTACCCTACGAACAAAATTAGCTACATGCAGCTGCCATTTACTCTACCTAAGCCTTCAAGCCTAAACAACCAATTTGCTGATTTTAGTTGATAAATTTAGTGTTTAGAGTACTGTGAATTTTTTACTCGTATTCGAAATTTTACTCATGCTCATACTCATACTCACACTGGTTCTCGTACTCATATTCATAGTTATACTTGGACTGGCACTTATAATCATACTCATTATCATAATCAAGCATATATTCTTACTTGTACCTTTACACGAAGTGTAAAGTGCACACGTATTCGTACTTGCAATCGCATTCGTATTCATAATCATACCCATACTCCATACTCATACTCATACTCATAATCATACTCATACTCATTCTCATTCTCATTCTCATTTTTATACTCATATTCATACTCATACTCATACTTATAATCATACTCATACTCATACTCATACTCATACTCATACTCATACTCATACTCATACTCATACTCATACTCATACTCATACTCATACTCATACGCATTAGTACTCACATTGACTAGACGTTGTAAAGTGGCCACGTATGAGTTCTCACTGTGAACGATGGCGGCCACAATGTGGCGCCGCTTGAGCTGCTGCTGGGATAGACCGGGCGGTGCCGGCGGCAGCATTGGCACTATTAGCCGGCTATGGGCGGTGCGTGCGGTGCCATTGGCCCGACTGCCCGGCGGTATCATCAGGTCCATATCGAAGCGGCTGCTGTCCGGTGCAGAGTTCTCATCATCCTCGTACTGGAAAAGAGTTGATGACTTGTTAAGCATTTGACGGTTTGTAATGGATTATTCCTTGTGGACTTACCTCAGGCACGCCTGGCATCATTTTGCTGGCGCCCAGATTGGCCAGCTTCTGTGGCGAGGCGGCGTCCAGCGTCGCTGTCGCTGTGGTTGGCTTTGGCGTGGCTGCGCCAGATGCGTCCGGTATGTCAAAACTAGAGGCCGTAGACTGCCTACCATCGCGTCCACCCACATCATATTGATGTGTGGAGCCACGTCGAATGGAGAACCAACGCGAAAGACGTCCGCCCGGCGATTCACCGGGTGCAGTGTTCTCCTCGCGCTGAGACGATGCCCCTGAGCTGGTGGGCATCGTGCAAGCGCTAGCTCTTCGCATAATCATGTTGCTGTCACGGCTGCCGTTACTGGCGCTCTGACTGCACTGCGGCTGGGCGGAGGAGTGAGTGTTTGCGTTGGCGCTAGAGGACGAATTCGTAGAGGCAGCCGTGCGCCATTTGTCAAACGACAAATGCTGCTTGGCCTTGTTGAAGGTGGAACGCAATTGGGAATTGCGTTGGTTGCCGGCGCTTAACGAACTCACGCTGCTGCTGGTCTGTTCCTCTTCTGTAAAGTTCTCCTCGTCGGAGTGGCTCGCTGTGGGCGCCTCTCGGCGTTCGCGTCCCGGTGATTTTGTGTCCCGCTCGCTGCTGCTGCTTGCGCTGCTGCCAACACCGACACCAACACCAACGGCAGCTTGGCCACCGTTGGCGCTGAAGCTTCCGCCGGCAATTGTGGCGCTGTCTGCCTGCTGGCTGATCTGGCAGCCCTTCGCGCGCTGTTGCTGCTCAGCAATCCGACGACTAAAGGCGCTGTGCAGCTGTGCTGTGGTCACGCTCGCCTTCTGACTTGTGATCCCCTGACCTGGCGATGTGATGAACGAGGATGTTTGATGCGTCTGCGTCTGCGTCTGCGTCTGCAACTGCGATTGCGACTGTTGTGTCTGTTGTTCCGGCTCCGCCAAAGTATCCTCCCATGAGCTGGAGTTCAGTTTGTTTTCATCTGTAAGATAAGATCCGATACAGAAAAAGAATGAATACGAGCTTAGTTGATTGATTGGCTGGCTGGCTGGCTGATGACGCCATCCGCTAATGCTCGCAATGATTGGCAATTAAAAGGCGGCAGTTTAACGCAAGTCGGATTAAGCCAAGTGGCTGGCTCCAGGCGCGCGAAAATACGAAGCTCAACAGCTTACAACCATTTGGCCATGTGCAGTAGCATGCGTGGGCTACCCGCAGGGGCACAGCATCAAAGCCATTGCCGACACCATACCGAAGAAAGCCTTGTGGTTAGAATAAGCCGACTGGTCGATACCCTATCCTGGGAGTGACACCACGTTATGTCCCACTTGAAAGTTTTGTCTTGTAGCTCTTAGGGATTGAGTTGTGGCTTGATCACCCGTCAGTCAGGATATACTCTTTTTATGTTTAATATATATGCGGACGGACGGACGGATGGACATAGGCTTTTGGTAATATACCCGATTTGCTATTTTGAGCAGCGCACAGTTCTGGCCAAGCTCAAGAACTGTTGTCGCGTCGATCGCAGCTCGTTAGCGCCGGCGGCAAGCTGTGTGGGTTGCTTTGAAGTGGCCATGACCACAGGCAGCAGCAACCAACAACCAGCACCAGCAACAAGCAGCGCGGCAACAGTATTAGAAACAAAAACAACAACAACAACAGCCACACACAATATTAGCAGATTTATCATGCCAAAAACACAAACAACAAGCCGTGCCGTGACAGACAATACCACAAGAACAACGAGAATATTAAGAACAATATACGGGGACATAACAATTGGCGCTGAGATTGCTGCCAATTCACGTGGCCATAATTAATCATGCAGTAAACAATGCGATAACTGCGAGTTAACTGTTCCTGTTGTCCTTTGCCAAGGGCGTGGCATGCCCCTTAATGTAGTGTGGCACAGAGATACGACAGTTGCGCCACAAAATGGCCGACTGCTGCGTGGGCAACAAACATAAATGCCGGTAGACCAATATTTGCCAATTTCAAGGCATCTTAAACAGCCTGCCATGTGAGAGTGTGCGTTCGTGTGCGTGTGTGTGTGTTTGTGTTTGTGTGAAGCAAACAGTGGCTGCCACTGGCAGGCTACCTCTACTCGCCTCCACTCGCCCCCCCCAGTCGCTCTCATCAGCACCACTTTAACCATTTGGCAAAAACCCGCTTTTACAAAATTGAGTTTGTGTAAATTTTATTAGGAACCCAACGCATATTGAAAGCAACCAATGCGTTTAGCTATACCCTGTACCGCAACTTAATGCGAAGGGTATGTGCGCCTGCTACTCGTGCATTTTGCAAACTTATGGAGCTGGCAGTAGGCCAGAAAGCCGAAGTGAACCTTAAATGGGTTTGCTTTTTGGCTGTTGTTGGTATTTCTATTACTGGGTATCTTGTAGTCGAGCCATTACAGCTACTCTCGCTCGTATACATATTAGTACTAATGTTGATACTTTTCGGCTTCATAATGGGCAAAAGTTTGGCGTCTTTCGAAAGGCATTCAATTGATTGGGACCAGAGCTTAATTTGATTGCTGTGCGTGTGTGTGTGTGTGTGTGCTTGTGTGCGTGTATGTAAAAGAACACATCCGAAGTTTATGTATATATTTTGATTATCATAGAGCCAAACTGAGCTCTCAGTGTATTGAGTAAGAAGGGCTGCGACTTTGGTTTGAACTCATAATTAATTTTAAATATCTATCGTCAAGATGGGCTGAACGTGTTAGATAAAAACAGGAGATAATGAGAAGATGTGAAAAAGTATGTATGTTCTTTATAGCAGTCATATTTTGCACGCCTTGAGACAAATAAATCGGTAAAAAAAGCAATCTTCGAGCCCCGTCTTACAACTGAATTTAGCGAAATCAATAAAACACATCTCAACAGGCTGCTGTTGTGGCCAATAAAATTGCATTGAATGCGAATGCAAAGACCACAAATGCAAGGCAGCTGCCATTGTCGTGCAAACTTGACATTGCGCATACGCCCAGTCTGCCGCATGGACTTGGACACTGCTCTCCGCATTTCTTGTTCTTTGGTGCAAGGCTGCGCTGTACTCTTGGTGGTGACATGACTTGTGCAGCTCTGTGGGTTTGCCTCAGTTAGTTAACTTTGCTGCCCTTGGCCGAGAGCAGCGGCCAAAGTCGCCGCCCCAGCACATAAATATATATATGTATATAAATATTTGTGCATACATATATAGTATATATGTATATATTGTAAGAGATTTGTTGGCTTGTCTCATGCTTCATCAGTCCGCCAGCCCACACACAGGCAAATTGATTTTAGTCAACCCACAAGTGGTGACCAGTGGCTGTTGGTGTTGTTTCACTTTTTTGTTTTCTTTTTTTCTGCTTGGTTGTGCAACGCTCGAACAGATTACGTATACGCAGTGTTGCGGCCGCAGCCGCGACGATTGCACATTAATTATGATCAAATGCAACTCCTGGGACGCGCTGTGCACTATACCTCCACTCCTTTTGCATAACGTGTCGATTTGCACAAAAAACTTATAAAAATTAATCATACGCCACGTGAGTCGCGGAGGTGGCAAAAACGCACCATTTGCATAACAAACCCAGTGCGCCGCGCAGACAGTCCGCCTGTCTGTCAGTCTGTCAGTTGGACATGCCGTCAAAGTCAGTTGAGTTGACAGTTTTTTATTCCTTGGTTCGGTCGAATTGCAATTGGTTGGCGTGATTAATGAGCCTCATTAAACGCGGCTACAGAATGCCCACAGAAGAAACGCACACAGAAATGCTAATGACTCCGGGCATTTACTTAAATTATACAAATTATATTTCATTGTTTGGCAGCTCAACACAGCCCACACTGAATGCGAAAATGAATGCGATATTCATATACCCTACAACAACTGAGTGTGTCCGACGGGCAGATACCCCGCGTCCTGTGTCTGAACATTTCCAAAAGTTAAGTTTTTAACTAGAGCAGCTTTTTCAGAAATAAGCAGTAGATTACTTCAAGTCTTATTCAGGATAATAAAAATCGCATAGAAAGCCACTCATTATAAAAGCATTTATATGAACAGAATTAAGAATGCCAGATCTATTATTTTTTACTAACTAAAGTGTCAAAAGTGTTAAAGAGCTAGTTTTGAAAAACTGCGGAGCTTTCTAACAAATTTAAATGTCTCTAGCGACGAGAATTTTGAGAATGATGTATACGTGGTTATGTGCCGCTTTTCTTTGACGTTTAACATACATTTGCTAAACATCATGTTGCCCTTTCTTTTTGTTGTTGTTGTTTTTTTTTTAACAGGTACAGGGTATTTCCAGTAAATGACAAGCATATGAGCTTTGGACAAGTTTAGAAGCTGTGACTAATTGAAATGACAGTGCAAAGTGGCCACAAAGTTGGCACTCAATTGGCTTTTAGCGTGGCTCTAACAGATTGAACAAGCTTGTCTGCATTTGCGTAAATATTTATTATGCGGCCAGTTCGAATACAGGTCACTCTTAACGCTGTCATTTGCAGCCAGGAATCAGGGAGCAGGAGAGAAGGAGATTTAAAGTTTTTGCCACACAGTTTGGCACAGTTTGACAGCGTTTGCCACTGAATGCCAATGGCAATCGAAATTCCCGGCTTTGTCACTGGCGAAAGTCACCTGCTGCGCTTTATGCAACATGCGGTCTAATGAGGCCACAAGCCAAATGCTCGCCACTTGCCGGCACGAGTTTCAAAGTAATTTCGTGTGTGTCTAAAATTGAGAAGCATGCGGCGCACATGCACTTTAAGCAGCGCATAAGCTTAACCAAGTTGGCCAAGTTTTTAGAGGAAGGCAGCTTCAAATGGTGGGCGTAAGAGCTGCTTGCCTGGTTAGCTGGATCTCATTACGTGAAGTTCCTGCCATGCTCACTCCGTCACACGTGTGTATAATAAGTGTGGAAATTGCTTTCTATTTGCAATTTTGATGACGTTGCCAGAGCAGCGCGTGCCTCTGCCATAAACTAATTATTATAATGTAAATCACACACGCAACCCGAGCAGAAGATGTCGGGATTTTTGGTTTGGGCTCGGATTTGTTGGGGAGGCCGCCCAGGAAGCTGTGCTTGCGGCAATAGAAACTTCATGAAATGCCAACTGCCTTATCCACTCACATAATTATAAGCACACACTTGTGCGTCGGTGCGTGTGTGCGAGTGTGCGTGTGTGGGTGAACAACAATCTTAAGTATATGAAAAATGGAAAGCAGGCATCCGCGCATATTTGCGTCAGACATAATCCCATGGTAAACTTATCGTACTTATAATGCCTGCCCATTACTCCATGGAATGAGCTATTTAAGTGTGTGATGCGTATTTGCTTTAAGCTCTAATTAGTTGCATTTCATTATTTATTTTTATGACAAGTCGTTTTAGCCTAACACCAATATTAAATTGGCTACCTCAAGGTAAATGTTGCTTAGTTTTTACCTTGTCACTCGCTCAATGCTTAAACTGGTTGCGAATTGTAACGCGTCAAGCAGCGAAACGCAGCAAAGCGAACAAAACCATAAATTAAATGTTATGCATGCATTTATATATATTAATATATATTAATAGGAGTTGCTTAAATTATTAAATATAAAACAATTTCTTCAATCATCTGTTTCAATATGTATTAAATATACACCTACGTGCCATATATGTATTTGTACTTATACATTAATGGAAATTGAACGAAATGCAAAAACTAAAAAAGCAAATACAGTAATCATTAGTCACAAGACTGAGACACCGCTGGAGGGAAAGCCGCATCCAGAATATGTACATATATACGTACATATATAAATATGTATGTGGCACACATGTGTTCAAATGCGAATCAACATCATGTGCAGTGGGAAATTACAACTGAAACTGTGTCAGCCAGAACGAATGGTATAAAGATGCAACCACCTAATCCACGGGCTAATAATAAATGGCATCAGAATTAGCTAGTCAGGCGATAAGTCAGGCCAGGCCAGACCAGGCCAAAACAA